TTATTATTATTATTATTATTATTATTATTATTATTATTATTATAATTATTATTATTATTATTATTATTATTATTATCGTTGTTGTTGTTGTTGTTGTTGTTGTTGTTGTTGTTGTTGTTGTTGTTGTTGTTGAATTTAATAGAGGCAACAAGAAATGTGCACATTTGCGAGGGAATTAAGCAAATTGCTGCGCCATTGGTGGCAGACATTTCACAGTGTGTTTTCACAGCGTGTCGCGCAGGACCATGGTACCTTTAGTTTGGCTCCTTTGTTTCTTCTTCTACATGCAAACGTTATTTGCGATGCATTTGAGCGTCCGTTTGCTTTCTGGGCCAAATCACGTCTATTCTCCCTTTCACACACACACACACACACACGCACACAAAAATAGTGAAGCACGAGCTTCCATTGCGCATCGATGCACTTCGACATTTTTTAACTCCGTCTATTTAAAGGTATAACGCTTTCGCGGTCACTTGATACATCATAACTAAAGAAATCGGTGCATGCAATAGCGGATCGTGCAGTAAACGACAGACAAAAAGAACGGCACCGACTTGCAGCAGCGTTTATTTCGGAAATGCTGTAGGCCCGTGTGCTCAGATTAAGGCGCACGTTAAAAAAAAAAAACCTCCGGGTGGTCGAAATTTCCGGAGCCTTCAACTACGCGTAGTCTCTAATTCATAATCGTATGGTGGTTTTGGGTCGTTAAACCTTACACATCAACAGCGTTTATTTGTCACAACTGCGTGCTCTGTAGCTGCGCTGTTTTTTGGTTTTTTTTGTTTGGTTTTTATTTCAAGTGTTATATTCGTTTGTGTCTTCGTTTCAAGTTCAACTTTCTTTCCAGTATTTCAAACTTGCTTGAGTGGCGTGGTCATGCAACAGCTTTCGACCGTACGTGTCCTGGTGCACTTGCCTTTTATTTATTGTTATTTATTATTAACATTATTTTAGTACACGATCTGAAGCCCGGTTCTTCAATCATCCTTATCCTGTGCTTTCGTTGTGCGTGCGCTCGTCTCGACATTGACAACCGACCGGCACGCGGAGAGAGAAAAGGGGAAAAAAAAAGTGCGAATATACGTCGGTGTATACGTGCGGCTTTTCTAGAACGGCGGCCGCGCACCACGCTCCGCGGTGCGTCGAACGACCGCTCGTCCATCTTCATCTCTTCCCGAATCGTGAAAAGGAAGGCGGGATAGCGGGGAAAAGATGTTACCCCGGTCCACCCAACCCACACTGCAGTGGTGCCACCACCGCCGGGCACTCTCCCTGATATGCATGCCGAGCAGGGAGGGGCTGGTCGTCGCATCGGCGCCTTGGTCGCTTTGTTTTCTATTCTTTGTTTTTAGCGCCGCTATCCAACTAGAATAGAAAATACAGTGCGTGGGCGGGAAGCTGAGTCAATGCCTTATAACGCGTGGTATTTGGAGCGAGCTTCCTCTGTAAGCCTTCAGTTTATCTCGGAATTTCGGATCGTTCTTGTTTCACGCTTGGTTGCATTCGATCGTGTTAGAAGGGCGCGTGCGAACGCCGGCGCAGGAAGGAAGTTGGAATAATTTTTTTTTTCTGACTGTGTTGCCGAGCTGCAACGCCTGCCGACAGTCCCGATGTCTCGCACACTTCGACAGCGATGCGGGAATGGACGTGGGGGGATCGCATGACCACTTTCAGAGACATCATGCAACACTACAAACTGAACAGGTGCAAATATCCACCACCCCACGCCAAACTAAACAAGAAACAGCAGGTTGCCTGGAGACAACTACAGACACACACGTACCCGAATCCGGTGATCCTTCGCCTCTGCTACCCAGGCATTTATACGTCCGACGCGTGTAAGGCGTGCGGAGCCAGAGCGACGCTGCAGTACATGCTGTGGAAGTGTACCGGTAACGCGCAGCAGTCCCCTACGAACCCGGTAGACATGGCAGTCTCGAACCGCGAGGCGCGATGGGAGGCGGCTCTGCTCAGCCACGACCTTGCTGATCAACTGTGGGCCGTCCGGCAAGCCCAGGATGCCTCCCGGGTCCAAGGACTCGAGGCCGTCACCTAGGCCGGGGTGCTTGTAGCCCCACCCCGCTCAATGACGCCGGACATGTTCAATAAAGTTTTTACTCACTCACTGTCCCGACTTCTCTCTTACCCAGTTGAGGTGTCTAGGGGCTAGGGTTTCCGCTGCTGACCCGATAATTGGGGAATCGAATCCCCCGGCCGAATTTTCGGTGTAGGTGGAAATGCTTGAGGGACATCTACTAATATTTAGATGCAAAAGGAAAAAAAGAAAACTGGTCGCTATAGAATTTTCGGAACCCTATCGTGGTTTTGGGACGCGACACCCATAAATTACTCCTATTGATCTCTCTGTTGTGTCCTCCTCTGCGTGCCTGTGCAGTCTTTTAAAACGAATCGCATGTGAACTATAGCCAAGCATTCTGCTATAACCTTGGTTACATGACCTGAAAATTCTTGTAGTCCCGTTAGAAAGGACCGACCGCGTCCGTATACTTGTCTGTACGCAGTTTTCACGGACGTCAGGCCACGTTGCCGCGGTAACTTGCGGCATACACAGACGCTGTGTATATATACCTGGCGACCTCTCCGGAGACTCGGCTACACCTTGCGAGCCGTTGGCGCATGCTCATTTTGCTGTTGTAACGCTACGGCCATTCCGATTTGCGCGATGTTCGCCTGTCTTGGCAGAAGCACCACTTCTGCTAATCAAACCAATAGAGAGCCAGGGATGTTTTGCTTGCCCTAAAATTATTTAAAGCAGTGTCAGAGGATACAGGTGTTCTCTGAAAAGAGCTACAGCGTTCATTTAGCTTTCCCTTAAAAATAGGAAGACACTTGAATCAAAGGTGATCTGCCGCAGAGACATTTTGTTATATAGTGTTCTGTTTTGTGCGTTTTCCTGTTCACTGTTTCAGGAAGATGTGAATTTTCGGTGCGTACGTGGTTGCACACTATACATTGAAGTCAAGTTCACACCGAGCGCGGAGCCTCAAAGCGAAGTGGCGGATTCGGAAAGCGAACGCGGATTATCCTCAAACACGGAAAATCCGCAGTCGCTTCTCGGAATCGCTTCCGGGCCGATTTTCTCCCGGCGGAAAGCCTTGGCCGCTTTGACCGCAGCCAATCGGCGCCCGAGACGCGCGCGCGCGCAGTATCGCTTAGTGCCGCAAGATGGTGCACGCCCACCGCGGATTGGTGGATTGCCTCGTGCCCGCGGCGGAGCGGGCAGAAGGACACTCGATCGGTCTGAACAGCCGCGCTTACTGGCTGCGTCTCCGCTTCGAAAATCCGCTTGCGGTCTCCGCGCTTGGTGTGAACGCGCCTTTATAGGGACGTACACGGCTGTGCAGCAACGCGCCTACGTCGTCCGTTGTCTGGCGCCGTTTTATCACCGCTGGTAAAGTAGCAAAGATGATTGTGGCGCCGTGTATCACAGTTGGTGAAATGGTAAACAAGATGTAATGCATTAACGAGCAATGTAGCGTTTTGAAATGTAGTTGCTTTTTAGTATTTCGGAACTGAAGCCCCTTCGTACCATAAGTTTTCGCCGGCCAGGGGCTGGGATGATCGGTATACCTTATCCGAGACGTCGCTGCCTCACGTGGCACCGGGAGACCGGTCTTTTATCCCCCTTTCCGCGTAACCATATAGGCGCGCCCCAAAATGACGGGCTTTGCGTTTCCTGCGGGCTGTCTTCTGCCCATCCGCAGGCCCCGCATTATTACGCGTCGTTCGAGTGTCCACGAGACGGTGCTCGCTTGGGGAGTCTGCTGCCAAGGGCATTGCAAGTCTGGGGCGTTCAGCGTAAAACTAGCGAGTCCAGTGCACGTAGATAGCGTCAGCGGACGGTCGCACGCTCGTAAAATAAAATGCCTGTCGGCAGTTGCGCGCGCTGTGTATAGTTCTTGCGTGCACTTTTCCTTTCATTTTTTTTTGCTTGTTTTATGGCGCGTGCGTTTCCGTGGGCTCTCTAAGCCATGTGATTTAGTGGCGGGCGCTGAGGACTTGTATCTGCGCGTTGACGCATATATACTTGTACGGGCGTGTTCAGTGCGCGGCCTTCGACGTGAGATGTGTCCGTGGCACTATATCTTTTGGGAAGTGAGCATTGGCACAAAAAAAGCACGCTTCGTAAACTATGTGCGCTGTCGGTGTCATCGAGATTACGTTCGTCTAACATGACCACTCTATTTTTTCATACTTTTAGGTAATCCAAAGCACTTTTGGGGTGAGTTTGTGCTTAGACTGCATGCTTGGGTACGCTTGACAGTGGCGCAAGACGCAGTTTGGGCGCGTTACGTTGTGCTCTTTTCTATCCCCCTTTTCACGAAAGGTAATTTGCGCCGAAGTGAAACATTTTAGGCTACTTTAAAAAATGATCTTGATATTTTGTTGTGATTATAATTATACGATTTTTGAAGTCGTAGTCTTCTTTGACTCCTTCCCCTGACGGGACGGTTAATACTGCTATGGACCCGAATATTGTACGGTCCAGTCTAGACGCATCTCCTAGACGGTGTAAATGAAGGATCGAATTTATTTTAATTTGATGTATTTCATTAACTTTCAAAGAATGCCATAAATCGGAAAGGCGATTAAATCTCGGATCCATAATTGTTATGCCGCTTCTTATACCGAGGCGTAGAATATGTGCTTCCGGTAAACTTGCTTTGAAACTTTTGGTCGGGCTTGTAACATCAGAGTCGGTCGCGAAGGCAAGGGGGCGTGACAGTACGAAAGCCTCTTAATACGAACCTACCCAGTAAAAGAACTCCTGTGCCGGTACTCTTCGGCACTTAAGCGTAGGGCATCCTAGCTACGACACTTTTCTTCCGGTAGCTCCTTACAATTATCGTTTTATGTTGCAGTATAACAATGAATTATCGCTCTCTGCCAACTGATGTCACTCCAGTAATCGATACCGCGGCATTAAGGCGTCTAAGTGATTTCATCTTTTCTGTTGTATTTTCTCCTGTTTGCAGGTCTCTTTCGCTGATCCTCGGCGGGAATCGGCGTGTCTGCGTTGCATCGTTATTTACGCGTCGTGGTTCAACTTCGGCTTCATCGCGCAAAGGCGTGATCTGGTGAGTGGCGCGTTTCTTTATAGCGTTGTACAGAACTTATTTAAAAAACAGTATTGAGAACACCGACTACAGTGCAAGGGGTTGCGAATGCATCAGCGATGTACAAGCAAATAAAGAAATGAAGTGGCAGAACTTCCTGCAATGACGAGACCTATCTCTGCTTTTTGTCCTCCTTCGAAGTACTGGGCTGGTTAAACCGGCTGAAATTGTCACACTGGTGCCACTTTTGCGGCGCGTTCGCCGGTCGAGTAACGAGATATATTAAAACGCCGGCGTTATTGCTGCCTGCTCTCCCACGGTGTGAATCAAACCTGCTTGGTGTGCCCGCCCACGTACACGGTCGCTGAATTGTAAAGGGAAGGCGCTGGTGGTGGCCGTATTAAACTCGGAACTTGGGACTTCTGGTGCGATAAAGAGAGAGATGAAGAATAAGGATATAGAGGCGGGGAGGTCAACCACAGCTGCATGAGCCCGGAATGCTATATACCCTGCACTGGGGAACGGGGAGGAACGTTATAGAGGAGAAAAGTCACTGATTGAGCTGATCGTAAGTTTCAAATCACAAGCGATGTCCTTGAGGAAACGAAACAGTGCTTTCGTCTCCTTTCGGCGGTATGGGCAGCGCCATTGTACCAGCACCTCTTCGACAGTAAAATCGCTTCCGACCAGTTGATTTAGAGCAGATCGGAGGTAAAGCCTCTCGTTTGTGTATGCCGGGCGATAACACAAAGTGTGTTCAATAGTCTCATCGACGGCACAGATCGTTGCGCTCCGCGCTGTCGGCCATCTCAATCTTAAATTAGTAGACAGTGGTGAAGAATATACGCCCAGACGCAGGCGGCGCATTGTTGTACCTGCCTCCCGAGAAAGACCAGGGGGTAGCCGCAGTCGTAGAGACGGGTCGAGAGAATACAGTCGGTGATTTGCGAACAGCGGTAATCGTGTGATATGGGCTGCCATAAGCCTATATAGACCTGTTCCATCTTCGTAAAAAAAGGCGCTGTCAACATATTGAGGTGCTTCTAGAGACGTCGCGGGAGGCTCCCCGACGCGCTGTGCAGCTGCTGTGCCAGTTGTCACGTGATAATAGAGGGAGGCGAGCATTGGGCTGGGCGGAGCCCACACGCCATGACGTCCCAGTATGTCGACGGTGCCACCGCTGTTTACAAACACGGAATAAGAGTGTGTGTGTTTCACCTCCTCCCTACACTCACACCTGGTATAGGAAAGAGAATCGTCCCTTCGTGTGCGAGCATCGGTGCCCGCCCGTGCTGCATTAACGGAGCTAATTGCGCTCCGAGCCCGAAGTGCGCCATCGCCTTGATTGATGGTGCGCAGCGGCCTGCCGTGGCGGCGCGTTCCGCTGCGTCCGCGCTATTGCGTGTCCGAACGTGAACGCTTGGCGGCGCTGGCCCTGGAGGCGTTTAATTAATTCGTCCGCTACGCGTATTGCGCATGACCGCGCGCGCGTATCTATCGGACATTCTGCACACGGAACGACGAGTCCGACTGCGCCCGCTCTGGGGCGATATATCGGGCTGCGTGTGTTACTATTGCCGGCAATGGCTTTTGGGCGCCGCTGTACAGTGATGCGCTGGACATCGACATCAGTCAGACAGTAGGTGTCGTATACGTGATTACAGGTTCACATATATGACGAAAAGTTGAATGTGTAAAGAAGGTGCGATTGTCGCACTTATGGAAAAGTAAACAGGTTGACGTAGTGGGTTCTGAATGTTGTGGGACAGCGCATGAGTGTAAAATACCGGTGGTGAGAGTTGCATGTTTTTAGGTGTACGAAGTCTTTATGCGTGACTTCGCAAGTTTGTCAGTGAGTTGGTATCAGTTTTAGCTGTACCATGCTAAAAAAAACTATAATATGAATGCTTGCGGCGGTTTAGTCTTTCGCTTTTAAATATAATGAAAAAAAAAATCCCCAGAAGCAAGCGTTACGTATTTGTACCGTGCACCTGAAGTCATCAATGTATAGCGTTTCGAAATCGGTTGAAAATTACAGCCAGGACATCTGCTTGGATTTTCAGTACTGGTGATCTCTTTCTCGCACGCCTTATGTTTTGTGTGTGGCATTTGGAAGAGAAGTGTCGGTATATGCTTACTTCAATACCTAAAGACGCGTAACCACCATAGAAAAGACATCAACAACAACAAAACATCACTAGGTAACTCGCGAATTCAAATGATAACATTTGCCTTTAAACACGGACGATGTCGACACGGCTGACAACCGGTATAACTTCGAGCCGTTTGTATTCTTTGAGAGTTCATTTACACGAGTGTATTCTCATAAAAACGGCACGTGATCTATACTTTCTGCGTATTATATACGACGCGCTAATCTTAGTTTGTAAAAGTTTGTGCATTTTTCTTTAGCTACGGCCCTAAGTTGTTTCAGTGTCGATAAACACGGCCTCTTCTTCTTTTTTTTTTCCATCCTCTTGCGTGCGTCTTTGAAGGCATTTTTTCACTGGAAATTTTCTTTTTGGTTAGAAATTGTACGTCATGTTCTGCACGCAATTAACTGCGAATTTCTTTTTATGGAAAATGGCTGGGTGTACGTGCATGCGAAATTTAAGCAGCCGTCAACCTCATTGACATGCGTTCTGCAGCTCTACTCCGCCGAGGCGGCATATGTAATACCGCTGCGCGGCTTTTCCGTGGACACGCCAAGTCTCGTACTCAGCGCGCGCTATGTGTGAAGTATTTCTGGATCGCGCGGTTTTCGCAAATTGAAAGCGTTTGTTTCGATGTAGCTGTGCACGGTATACAATCTCGTTCCCGAGAAGAATTATCGGCGAAGTTGCGGTCGCTGATGCCTGTCGATCGATTTGACCGCTCTATCGCTAAAAAAATGGCTAGGCGCGTCTATACTCTTGATCGAGCGTGCCGGAAGCATGTGATCAGTGTTGGAGTTGTACGATCGAGTCGCTTGGAAGGACACGTATACTGGATAGCATGTCTGTTGTGTGGGGTGGGGATCGCTGTGAGAAACAATAATCATCAGCCATTCGCCATGGCGGTGACCAATGGCTTGTCGTGGATAGTGTTTTAGCCGGTTAAGCCGAACCGAATGAATCTTTTGTTACGTTTTTGTGGTCGTGTAGTAGTAGTAGTAGTAGTAGTAGTAGTAGTAGTAGTAGTAGTAATAGTAGTAGTAGTAGTATGTGTAATAGTTGTAGTTCTGTTGGTGGTGATCATTTCTTTGTCGGATGTACCGTAGAAAAATAATGAAGTCTTTGCTACTGTAACACGCATAAAGTATACTGAAGAAGTAAACAATTTTAATTAAGAAGTACGATATACATATGTTATGGCGGGGATGTGTGATAAGCAAGAACAATTACTTAATACCAGGTGCAAGCAATAATAATAATAATAATAATAATAATATAATAATAATAATAATAATAACGGGCCGCCGCTGCTCAGCCAAACGTATACGCCACGGAGCGCAGAGCCTTGGTCACGCTTGCTTTAATCGTATATGTGTGTGCCTCGGAGCGTGGCATGTGACACGCACTATAGCGCAAGCGAACGTACACGTTCTTTGTCCGATTGTTCCGCTCTCCTACTCTATACTACGAGTGTTTCGCGATTCTGCTCATTGATGCGCTTGATCTCTTCCATTCAGCTCACGCTCCCTTGTTGCAACAGCCTACTCCGTTTTTTTTATTTTCTTTTTCTTTTCCTTATCGGTATATACTTAAGCTTTCCTCGTTTTTCCTGGTAAGGACAAATGCTTTGCACATTCCACCCGACCCTTGTTAAACATCTGGCTACATCGCGCCGCTATCAGAAAGCCGGTGTTTCCTTTTTCTTTCTTTTTTGTAGAATCCCGCGCCTTACTTCTTAGGCAGACAATTTGGTAATTCCGACTAAGGCGAACGTCTCTGTTTTTTTTCCGGCATTGTCGCTGTGTCCCTGACTCTCGATAACTACAGTGAATGACTTTTAAAGGGGGGGGGCACTAGCTCCAAAGCTACTCAAATTTGAACTTTTGTCTCCATAGATTACAGCACTTACACTCCACCAAAAAGGAGGGAAGTTAGAGCCCAATCTAGGGTGCGTAAATTTCAACCGGACACGAAAGTATCAGTCATTACACATGCGGAAAGTACTGCTGCTTGACCCTTTCCTGGGAACTCCTGAGAGTGACTTTAAGCGTGGGCTATTCCGGTCCCTCTTAACTTTTCGCTTTCGCCCCATCGTGCCTCTAACCCAAACAGTTGGTAATGACCGGTATCTTCAGTGTCCGCTCCTAATGTGAGAACATTCCTGTACTATATTAGATGTCAGCCGCGGAAATTTCTCAGTTGATTGTACGACTGCGAAAACATCAGTTTGTCTGTGCTAGCACCTGCTATACCTCGAAGTCTTAAAGAAAAAGCTTTGCGTTAAGACATTATATTTATCTTCAATTTATCATATATCTATGTGTCGCATCTTCGCCATCGCACGGTGAGCACCGCCGTCGATGTAGCTGCTGTGTATGTCAACATGACTTTTTAGTTTTTTTTCTATAAAGTGCAGCAGTATAAATTGTATGGTGCTTCCAGGATTACTCTCTGCATACGCCGGAACCATTAGTCGGCGAAAATTGTGCAGCTCACCAAAATTTTTCCGTGTGTCACGGGTCCCGTTAATTCGGGAGGCGATCGCCGGGCTAATTCCAAGGGCCGAAGTATCGGCCCCCCGAACCGCACCACGGAAGCGTGGACAATTTAGAAGTGGTCCTTTTTGGAGCGCCAGCGGACGCCGGCTGTGGCCCAAAGAACAAGTCAGAGCCGAGAGCTGATAAACAAAACAGAATTATATTCTCAATAATGGCAGATCAAAAACAATACACAAGTATGCACACTCCACAATAGTTGAATACAATATGTCACCAATCCATCAACGTACTACACAGTACAATCAGCCACACTCGAAACAACGGACACAGACAACAATACGCACTACAATGCAGTCGCATGCATTGAACA